TCCATATATATATAAACCATTCATCCATATATATATAAACCATTCATCCATATTCTATAACCAATTGCCCTATGCAGTGTCATTGTTGCTTTGTATAGATGCAATGGAATTTAAGTTTTAGTTTAAACTATGTATAGTATACACACCAATAACTTTAAAGATTAAAATTACTAAATTTTTTCCCCAGTCTAAAGAGAAAATGAATTTTATTAATGTCGAACAGCATGATTTAAAATTAAGTTTTAAGTTTTACATGTATTTTTTGTCTACATTCCATCTAAAGTATAGTAATTTTACAGTTTAAAAGTTTTGAAACTTAACTTTGCTTTCAGCGTTCTAGACACTTATAGACTTTTTTACATCCAGAAATAACTTTAATATTCGCTTGAAGTACAAAACAGATTTAAGGAATCAATACGGCCAAGTATATTAGTTATGAGGACTATGGCTATCATAGACTCTACCTGTGTGTGTGTGTGTGTGTGTGTGTGTGTGTGTGTGTGTGCTATTGAAATTTTGCTTTAATCGCACTTCAATGAAAACTGTAGGACTGGGTATAAGATTCCTACCTATATATCGCTTTAAAATACGCGAAGGTTTCTTTTCATTTATAAAAGGCACGTATGCTGCTTAATTGATTAGGTAACCTGGTTAAGCATAACCCTGATGTAGATAGCTATTGATCATACTGTGTTGGGCTAAAATGTGAATGATGAATTCATAATATTTTTTGCTGTAATGGAGAATAAATGTTTGTGGACTGCTTGCATAATGCTAACAAACCACTGCAACAAAAAGAGCTTTGTCTTTATGAATATTTTAGCTTAATTAATTCGTAGGTTTCCTTCCTAAATCCCAAGTGCTCAATTAAATATTAACGCTTTCAATTTCAGCAGTGGCTAAGGGGATACCGGTTTGGCCTAATTATTTATACCACACCGTGGGTGTGTCGGAGGCAGCATTACAACATCATCGACCGCAGATAATCCCTGTTCTGCATCTCACTGAAATCCGCTGATACTGTTCGCTTCACTTGATCCTCTTTCAGTTCACGCCATCTACATGTCCGGCGGAAGAAACAAAACGCGTCTCCTACTCACGAAACTCGTGGTAATTTAGAATTTTTTTTTTTTTTACATAAGCTATAGTGGCTAGTTAACTGAAAAGTTCAAAACTTTATTATTGTTTGATATTGATTTATTGTCAATTTTATTTTTACAATTTAAGGCAAATATGTAACAGCGATATTACCCTTAAGTTTTTATGGATTAAGTTTAGACTGTTCAGCTAGTAGCGCTGTCACCGCTCGCCTCCTGATTGCAAACTGAATACAGTCCCCACGATGGAAACATTTTAAGTGATTTCCCCACGTGCTTGTGTGCTTTCTCCCCTTGTCGTGATTCACGTAACCAAGTTTGGAAATTAAGGATGGATGAGCATTGATATAACTGTTGGTATACCGTACACTGCACCTTCGTCAACAGTCCATC